TCATTGGCCAGAATTGAGTCATGTGCTCACCCTTGGCGCTGAGAGGCAGAGTCAGCCCCACCTAAACCGGAAAGACTAGATCTGTGCTTCTCGGAAGGGGCACCCTTGGTACCCGAGGCAGAACGATTCGTTGTGCAGGGCCCTCTTGCCCATTGCAGAGCATGTATGGTCCCTGATCCTGCCCCTGTACAGTCTAATAAATGCCCAAGGGGCTCTCATCCTAGGACATTGTGACAATCAGAAAGCTCCCAGAAATTTCCAAGTTCCCTTTGGGGGATGGTGCTGCTTCTAGTTGAGAAGCCCTGGTCTAGAGTAGGGAAGGTTGGTCCTCCACGGGAAAAGTGTTCTTACCAGACGGATGTTTTAGTTAAGAAACACGCCCAGATGCTAGAGCAGAGACCCCAAAATACAGACAGGAATACATTTCTCTTTCATACAAACCACGTGGCCAGGCTAGGCTGGCAGGGCCACTCTGTTCCACGAGGTCATTCAGGTTGCCAGGTTCTTGCATCACCAGCCCGTAGAGCCCTGTTGCATCTTCACAGTGAGGCTGGTTCATGCCGCAAGTGATCCAGCTCACAGGACGTGGGCACGAGGGGCCAGGGCACGCAGTGTCCTCTGAGGAGGTGATGCGTGTGGAGTTGCACACATGTCACTCCCACTTACATCCTGGAATTTGGAGACAAGGCAAGGCCTGGCTGCAGGGGAGGCTGGGAAATGTAGTCCCCAGCTGGGCAGCTGTATGGGCAGCTGTATGTCCAGCTGAAACTTTGTCACTGGGGTTAGGAGGAGACAGGTTCAGAGGGCACACCTAGGAGTCTGTCCTGAAGAGGAACCGTGAGTTACCTTTCTCTCCTCTCCCATCGGTGACCTCTCATGTCTTCCCACCTCAGTTGCCATCTACCTTGGGATCAAACGGAAACCGCCCCCCGGCTGCTCCGATTCCCCTGGAGTGTGAAGCTGACCAGCTCGCGCCCGCCTGAGGCCCTGATGGCAGCTCTGCGCCAGGCCACCGCGGCCGCCCGCTGCCGCTGCCGCCAGCCACAGCCGTTCCTGCTGGCCTGCCTGCACGGGGGTGCGGGCGGGCCCGAGCCCCTGTCCCACTTCGAGGTGGAAGTCTGCCAGCTGCCCCGGCCAGGCCTGCGGGGAGTTCTCTTCCGCCGCGTGGCGGGCACTGCCCTAGCCTTCCGCACCCTCGTCACCCGCATCTCCAACGACCTCGAGCTCTGAGCCACCACGGCCCTGGGTCACATCCTCCTCCTCGTCCCCTTCACTTCTACAGGAGGGAAAGGGGTCAGGGAGGGGTCCTCCCTTTGTCATCCCCTCAGTTGCCCTGAATTGGATTTGGGGACAAAGACTGTCTCCTCTGCTGTTCCCCGGGGATGCTCGGCATGAGAGAAGAGTGAGCGGGCTCAGCACGGGGAGCTGGCACCTTCCTGGAGCCTCCAGCCAGGCCTGCCCCTCCTTGCCCTGCTGTGGGGCACCTGAGGAGACTGTGGGGGCAGGGCAGGGGCAGGAAGGGACACTGAGGATACTTTTTCATTCCTCCCAACAGTTCAAGAATTAGGCCCTGGGCAGGGGCAAGAAGAGCTGCTGAGCCTAAAGACTGGAGAATTTGGGGGGCTGGGAGTGGGGGATCAGAGAGGCAGATTCCTTCCCTTTCCCTGCCCCTCATGCTCGAACCCCCCTCCCTGCCCCAGGCTGGTGCGGGGCACTTTGTACAAATCCTTGTAAATACCCCCACACCCTCCCCTCTGCAGAGATCTCTCGAGGAGCTGCCGCTGTCACCTCCGGTTTTTAAGTTATTACATCCCCACCCTCCTGTCAGCCCCCTCACCTGCAGCCTGTCGTCCAATAAACTTAGGAGAGGCCCCCTCCCCCACGCTGTCCCTGGGGTTTTCCTTCCCTGCCCTCGCCTACAAGTGAGATGAAGAAGAGGGGCGTGACTTTGGGCCAGTGGTTTCTCCTTTCTGGGCCTCGGTCTTCTCATCTGCAGAATGAGAGGTGGGGTGTGCCGGTCGAGGATGATTGTGGAAGAGGGCAGGACAGAACTCGGCCTCATCCACGAGGCTCCCCGCTCCTGTGCGAGAACCCCACTCATCCACTCAAACGCCCACCCACACGTTATACTGGACTCTACACCACTTCTTCTCCAGTCGTACATTTATTCAATAAACAGTCATTGACCGGTGCCTACTCCGTGCCGGGCCCAGTGCTGGACATGGAGACAGAAGGAGCCCTATCTGCAGGGGACATGGGTTAGGACACAAACGCTAAAGAAACCATGGCTTTGGGGAGCCCAGAAGAGAAAGGAGGTGGGGAAAGGCACTACAGAGAAACTGATGCCAGAGCTGGGCTTTGAAGGATGAGTAGGAGTTGGCCAGGTATTGTGTATGCCCTGGACAAAAGCCTGGAAACGGGGATGCATTGTATATCTTCAGAGAACTGGGTAATTTCAGTGTGGCTGCTATGTTGGGGGTGGGTAGGGAGTTAGCAAGAGAAATGCTGAAATAGGACTAATAATCCATCTACACTTAAGCCTAAAGCTGTTTGTTTGCTTATGTTATTTACTAGTCCAGGGGTCCCTGACTTGAGGAATGGCTGGGTCCAGGCAGCAGGCCACCTCGTTTCTGCTTTTTTTTCCAGTGTGGGTTTCATTCTAGTTGTATCCAGTAGACACTCCCTGATGGCAAAGTTTCAACTTTCATCCCTCCAGCTTAGTTCCTGCACTAGAAGGTTCCTCATGGCCAGCTGCCAGCGAAAGTTCCAAGACAGCATGATTGGCCTAGATAGGTCATGTGACCACCCCTGAACCAATCGCTGAGACAGGTGGCCAGGGCTGTCCCTACAGCTACACTTAAAGGGGGGTTCCCCAAAGGAAAGTCAAGGACTCCTGAACAGGTCGATGAAATCTAACAGACAAGCAGTTGAGGACTGTCCGGCACAGGAAGGCAGATCTTGTGAGCCAGTGACCAACCTGGGTGTATATCCCAGGACAAGAGCCTTGGAGGGTTTTATGCAGAGAAGAGCCTTAACTGTCCCTCAGTTGCCCATTTGGGGCATGGTAGTTTCAACCCTTGTGTTCCTCGTGAGGCTGATAGGAAAGTCACGTGAGAAATAAAGGGTGGTAAAGACTGATCAGTGTTGAAAAATCATGGGCTGGGCAGAACAGCATTCCTGTCCTATGACAGAGGCCAGAACAGTAAACTGCTGAAAGGTGTTTATAGTTGAGAGCCCAGAAAAATGGGGAGTGGAGGTGGGGGTCCAGCTCTGTGCTGGGGACACCATGGTTACAAAGACTGCCCCGCCCCTGCGCTCAGGGTCACAGTCCAGTGAAGGAGGCAACTGTGTCCTCAGAGCTGATGCAGCCTGGGCAGGGCTGGAATGGGAAGTCCAGAAGGGTTACCTGCCCTAGCCAGGGAGGGCTTCCTGAAAGGAGCAATTAGCTAGACATGGGGCGGGGCTGTGTGGTGTGTGTTCTAGGTAGAACAGCATGTATAATTGATTGGCTGGGAAGCAAGAGAATATAGGTTCTTTAGCAAATGGCATCTGACTCGGGTGAGAGAGGAAGCTGGAGATATTGTCAGGGCCTTGAAGGTAGAGAGGGCCTGGACCTTCTTCCAAGGGCAGTTGGGAGCCATGGTGAGGTTGTGAGCAAGAGAGAAGCAGGGACAGTTTTGTGCTGTGAAGGGAGGGAGGGAGACAGATCAGAAGAGTAAGGAAGAGGTAGGGGCAGGACCAAAGGTGGGGAGAGAACGGGTAGATTTAAGGCTTATGAGGCAAAATGGGCAAGATGGGCATGGTGGCTGCCAGACACCTGGACTGTGGATTTGACTGGTTCAGCCTGTACCCACTGCAGTGTCTGTGGTCTGTGTGGCTTCTGGGAGTGGAGCTGGCATTAGTTACAGGGTCTTCAGCAAGGACATCCCGGCATCTGACAGGCCCTGCGTAGCTAGACCTTTGGGATTGATCTTAACCTTCCTATTTCAGTAATCTCTCTGGGAATTCTTGGGGAGTCCGTGGGCCTCAATTTCCCCTTCTTGCTCCTCCTGGGACCAAGCTCTCCAAAAGGCCAATTTCTAAAGACCACAGGGATGCTCTGACCCCAGCCCTTGCTGAAGGAGGAAACGGCTTGGGCAGAGACATGAAAGTGGGAATTGTGCCCTGGCCAGTTGCTCAGTGGTTAGAGCATCGGCCCTTGGACCAGTAAGTCACTGGTTCGATTCCAGTGAAGGGCACGTACCTCGGTTGCGGTTGGGCCCTGATTGGGTCGCGCAGGCGGCAACCAGTCGATGTGGCTCTATCACATTGATGTTTCTCTCTGTCTCTCTCTCTCCCTCCCGCCCACTCTAGCTAATGATAAATTAAAAAAATATTCTCGGGTGAGGAATAAAAAATAAATAAACAAAGTGAGAATTGCAGGGTGTGAGGGGTCAGAGCATAGAGAGGAACAGTGGGAAAAGAACTGAAAAGATGAGCCTCAGCAAGTGGTATGCATTAGTTTGATTTTGAAGAGTCACAAACAATAGGATGTGTTTTAGATGTGGGAGCTCCGGCAGTCTTGAGCAACGTGAGGTTGAAAAGACTGGTAGCAACTGCAGAGGGATACAGTCAGACCTCACAGAAGGCCAGTGAGAAGCATAACGAGGTGCATGTGCTGAGATGCACATGAGGTCTCAGACTGAGAGCCTGTGGGCCAAATCCAAGTCTCAGACACAGCCTGCGGGGCTCCCACGGGGACCCTGTATTTGAGATCTGAGCCGAGTGTGATCAGGAGTCCAGGTTGGGAAGGGTCCAAGCTTGGCTATATGACACTGGGCCCCATCTCTCTGGGTTTCAGATTCCCCATAGAACCTTATAATTTTTGGATTACACTCTGTACCCTAATTTTGCCTCATTATAGAGATGGAATTAAACCTGCCTAGAGAGGGTAAACCACTTCGAGGTCACACAGCGGCCAATTACAAGTCCATCCTCCTCAATAACTAGAGCACACAAAGTTAAGGCCACCATTGCTTTTATTTGTTGCTTTGAGTGGAGAAAAAAGCATGAGCTCCAGAGGCGTGGGACGCTCTGGGAAGAGTGGAGGATGTGAGGGAGGTTCTTCACTGGCCAGAACCCACAGGATGGAGCCCCTTGGTTGAAACTCCGGTTGGAATTGGAACTCCAGGAACGGTGGATAGAGCCCGGGGGTGACCGAACCATTACAGGTGAGCCTCCGCGGGCAAGGGGAGGGGCAAAGGGTCAAGGGGCGTGTCTCCAGTGGGCCGGGCCTTCCCTTTGGCTGGGGCTCCAGCAGGCGGCGTGGGCAGGCTGGGCGTCTACTTCTGGGCGGGGATCATGTCGTCAATGGACTGGCCCTTTTCCAGCTTCTTCTCCATCTCCACCATGAGCTTCACACCGTCCACCACCAGCTGCACTTGTTCTACCTCGGACGAGCCCAGCCGATCGGCGTTGGACACGTCGAACACTGAGCCCACGGCAGCTGTGTCCACACCACCTGCGGGAGCAGAAAGCAAGGGCACGAAGAGGGAGCAGAGGTTCAGGAGCGGGCCGGACTCCGCCCCGCGCTAACCCGCCCGCCGAGAGTACTGAGGGCCTGCTGTGTAACACGTGCCCGCAGAGCCTCCTAAATGGCAGTATTCGGGGGCCCACATCCCCGGCTTTAGTTACTCACCCCTCTACTACCCAACAAGAAAATAGAGCATGGTGGGCAAGAGAGCGAGCTCTGGAGCCGGACTGAGTGGGACCCAAGCCTGACCATCTGCCCCTTGACAGCTGGGAAACTGAGGCCCGCAGAGGGCCGGGGACACACAATGTGTGTTATAATACCATGATAATACCATATTGACCCCAATGAGGTAAGGCGTTTTGATGCCCATTTTTAGAAGAAGAAACTGAGGTTCAGAGAGCCAGTCTTGCCGAACCCCAGAACTCACGGGGATCCCCCCTCCCTGTCCACCACCACCGAAAAAGGCCCGCGCCCAACGTCGCGGAGCGGGGAGGCGGGGCGCACCTGTGCCCCGCTTCTGCAGGCGCAGACGGCTTAGGATCTCCTCGAACTTGGGATGCTTGCTCAGGTGTGCCAGCTTTACGTGCACGCCTCCGCGCAGCCCGGTGCCCAGGTTGGATGGGCAGGTGAGCACGTAGCCCAGGTGCTCGTTCCACATGAAGGGGTGGCCGGCTTTCTTGAAGATCTCCTCAATCTGAGGTAGGGCGACAGAACCAGGGGTCAGCGCCAGCGGGCGCCCCCAAGTACACCCCAAATCCGGACGGAGTTTGAAGGGACACGGGCTTGAGGATGTGCGTGGGGGCGGGGCTCTGAGAGGGAGCGACAGGGAAACGGGAGGGATGAGAGTCGAGGGGAAGGGACCCCGACACAGATGACAGCAGGATTTGGAGAGGGCGGAGCTTGGGAACGTGTGGGGCTATTGAGGGCGGGGCTTGAGTGTAGGGGTGGAGCCTGGATTCCCCAGAAGGCGGGCCTTTGGAAGAGGGTTGGGCCGTCTGAAGGGGCGGGGCTTGGGCAGTATAATGAGGAGTCAGGTTGCCAGTGGGCGTGACCTTGGAAAGCGGTTGGGAGTGTCTGGGGAGGTGGTTGGTGTTGGAGGTGGGGCCGGGCCCTGAGGGGTGGGGCCTTGGAAGTGGGTGGGGCGTTCGGGATGGAGTCAGGAGTCAAGAGTCGGTCGCCAGAGGCAGGCACCCACCTTCTGCAGCCCCACGCAGAAGCGGCGGAAAACCTCCTTCATGTTGCCTCCTTTCTCCATGGAGATGACTCGGAGATGATCCTCCTCGTTCACCCACACCAGGAAGCTCTTGTTGTCATTGTGCCTAGGATGCGGTGCAGCAAGAGGCCAAGGAATCAGCTCCGCGGGAACCCCATTTCCCGCCCCCTCGCAAACACATCCCCGCCTTTGAGGGCAGCGGCTGAGGGGCAGGAGGTGGTGGCATCTGCTTCAGAATCGCAGACGCTTACACTTGCAGACTAACGTCGCAGGGTCTGTGAAATCTCGAATCCTGGGAACAAGGACTTTTAGGGTCTCAAGTCTTTGAACAGCATTAATTTATAGACTCTGAGAACCTCAGAATCAGAATCTTGGAGTCAAGATTGATAAATATTGGAAATCCTACATCTGGTCTCTGGACCAAAGAATCTTCCTATCATATAGGGACAGCTCAGAAACAGTCTTAGAACCTTAAAACTTCCGGATCTGGAAATGTTTGAAACCATGGAATCACAGAATCTGAAATTAGTGGAATCTTAGAACCTAAAAAATCTTTAAAATCTTGAAACCTTAGAATCATCCTATCTGTAAATATTGGAACCTACGCTCTCCAGGTCATTTGAAACCTAGGTTCTTGAAACCTTTTTAAATCTTTGAATATCAGAATCAGGGATTCAAAGATTTATAGAAAACCTAACTCGCAACAGTAGTTAGTAATAAAGCTCGTACTCATAGCGTACTTACTATATAGCAGACACTATTTTCAATACTTTAGATATATGAACTCATTAATCCTCACAAGAATCCCAACAGCTATGAATTATTGTAACCTCTGCTTTATAGATGGGGAAACTGGGGCAGAGAAACGTTAAATAATGTGCTCAAGGTCACACAGCTAGTCAGTGGCAGCACTGGGATTTGAACCCAGGGAGTCTCATTCAAGTCTAAGTTCCTAACTGCCACATCTCTGGTCCAAGTTTCCCAAAATGTGACACACAGACCACAGGGTTGGCAGGGGTGAAGGGGGAGATCACTTTCTGGTTCTTGAAAACATAATTACTTATGGTCTTGACTTTGGTGGAGGAATGAGGAGGATCATGGGGGACCTGGAGGAGGCTGGAGGGAGGGGAGATCTTGGGACGGGGTGGGGCGTCTCACCAGATGCCACGGGCATCGGGCCAGTCCCGAGCCATGCCTGAGGCCAGTAGCAGTGGGGACACGGGCTTGTCAAACAGAAAGTGGTCGTCGATGAGCTGCTGCTGCTCCTGTTCTGTCATGCTCTTCAGAGGGTAGTATTTCCCCTTGAACTCGCCTGTCAGGCTGTTGAGAGCTGAGAAGCCACACGAAGAAATGGTCAGCAGCCTGTCCCTCCTGAAGTGGGGTGTGGAGGCCCCAGGGACCCCACATTGCTGCCCCTAACAGGCTTCGGCCTTGGCCCTGTGTATGTCCAAAAGATGCCAGAATACTTTGTCTAAACCCAAATGCATGACCCCCCAAATGTGCTCCTTCCCTGTCTACGCAGGCCACGTCAGGTGTTCAAGCCAGAAAACATGATTCTCCCCTTCCCTGGACCCTCACATCCAGCCCACCTGCGAGCATTAGTGCGCTGGGGTCCGCTCCGACTGACTGGCAAGACAGACAGTCTTGGGAATTTGGGGAGCCATCAGTAAAAATGATTATAAAATAGTACATATAGTACTTGTATATACTCATATGTATAATAAATATGTAATGTGTGCCCTGGCCGGTTTGGATCAGCGGTTAGAGCATCAGCCCGCAGTCCAGAGAGACCTGGGTTTGGTTCCCACTAAGGACACGTACCTCGGTTGCAGTTTGTCCCCAGCCCTGGTTGGGTCGTGCAGGTGGCAGCCACTCGATGTGACCCTTTCACGTCGATGTTTCTCTCTCTCTCTTCTTCTCTCTCCCTCCCACTCTATCTGAACAAAAAACGGGGGAAAAAAATGTCCTCGAGTGAGGATAAAAAAAAAGTGTAATGTGTCTAATGAGTATATTTGTATATATGTATATTTATATAATTTGTAATTATTTATTTATATACATTATTTGTATCATATACTATGTGTTATATATCATATACCATATACTACATTATTAAGAACAAATTATGTAATCTTATAAATTAAATAAATTATATTTAAAACAAAAGCAGTACTCAAAACTATCACTTCCTAATTATTTTATAATATTTACTATTATCTACTATTATCTATGTCCTTGAAATTATCTTCATCTATTGTAGCTGTGTGGCAGAAATACTATAGGATGATGTGCTACTGTGCATCTTTTCCCATCTCTGTATGATGTCATGTCATAGCTTAAAATTGGCCTTGGTAGGAGAATTTACACCACAGAAATTGGCAGTAGCTGCAAATCAGGGCTGGTTTTTTGTTTTTTGTTTTTATCCTCACCCGAGGACATTTTTCCATTTTTTGTTCAGATAGAGTGGGAGGGAGAAAGAGGAAGAGAGAGAGAGAGAGAGAAACATCGACGTGAAAGGGACACATTGAGTGGTTGCCACCTGCATGACCAACCAGGGCTGGTGACAAACCGCAACCGAGATACGCGCCCTTTGTGGGAACCGAACCCAGGTCTCTCTGGACCACAGACCGACGCTCTAACTGCTGAGCCAAACCGGCCAGGGCAGGGTTGGTTTTTTTGAGAGCCAGTTGTTAAATGTTTATGAGAACAACATGAGTTCTGATGGTTCAACCTCCAAAACCTACTCTTTCTCCCATTCCACTGCTATCCCTCACCCTCACCTGGACCACTGTGGTTGCCCCCTCGTGGGCTCTCTGCTCCTACTTTTGCACACAGTCTGTGCCCCACTCAGCAGCCAGAGGGCTCCACGTAAGTCTAAACCTGTCCTCCTCTGCTCACCACCCTTCCATGGCTTCTGCCTCCCTCAGAGTCAAAGCCAAAGCCTTCCTGATAGCCCACAAGGCTCTGCCCAACCTGACCACCCATACCCCTCTGCCTTCATTGCCTCGCCCACTCAGCTCCAGCCACAATGATTTCCTTGCTATTCCTTCCCACCTCAGGTCCTTTGCACTTGCTGTTCTACCTGCTAGAATTCTCCCCAAGGTAGGCTCCTTCTTATCAATCAGGTCTAAACTTCTTCTTTGTAAGGTAGCTCCCCAACCCCGTACACCCAGTCATTCTCTGCCACACCCCTTGTTTCTTGGCTTCATGGCATTGATCTTGTTCTTCTGTTAGTTCCTGTGTTCCTCTCATCTCCCCCCCGGCTGACAGCTCTGGGACAGCAGTGACTGGTCCGTCTTGTTCATCTCGGGAGCTTCAGCTCCCCACACAGGACCAGATCGACCATAAATATTTGTTGGCTGGAAGGATGGGTGGTTTCAGGACACCGGCACAATTAGGTCTGCATGGATAAGCTCAGGGTATCTCAAGACTTAACACCCCCGCCCCCACTTCCACCGGGAGGGATGCTACCATCTGTCACTCATCAGGCACCGTGATTTGCCAAGTAACTTCCATGGTTTAGGAAGTGGGGATCCAAGGGGACCCAGAGATCTTCCCGTGGAGGAACAGAGGCAGAGCTGGGTGACCCCACAGAGGGCAGTGTGGGGGCTCTCACCTTCCACAGAGAGTTTCTCCACGGCCCGGCGCTCGCCTCGGGAGCAGTGGGGGGGCAGCGTGTAACCCTTGATGCTTCGGCCGGTGCGGACACGGCTGCTGAGCACATAGTTGGGGTCCAGGTCGTCTCCACCCTGGAGGGCCGGTGGGATGTGAGACCCTCCCAGTGCCCCCAGTGCCCTCTGGCTCCCTGCTGCTTCCTTTGGCTCCTCCTTCTTCCCCACGGGACTCTCACCCACCTCCCTCCCTGGCTCTGTCTCTTCTGCTTCTGTCTCTCCCGTCTCTCTCTCCATCTCTGTCTCTCCCCCATCTCTGACTCTGTCCATCCTCTTTGTTTCTCCTGTTCTACACGTCTGTTTTGTGCTTGCCTTCTCTCTCTCCCTCCCTCCTATCTCTGTCTCTGTCTGTGCTCTCTCTGTGTTCCTCTCCATCTCTGTTTATCTCTGCATCCTTCTGAGTACCCTTCCGACCCCTGTCCTCTCTCTGTCTCTCCTCCCTTCTCTGTCTCTGTCCACCGCTGTCCTCCCTCTCTCCTCCTCATCCCTCTGCCCTCCCTCCTCCACCCCCTCCCTCCCCGCCCTCCCCTGGGCAGCCGACCTTGAGGTTCTCATGGTTGAGGTCAGTCTTGTGCTTGTCGGTGGGTTTGTAGCCCCCGTGCCGGTCCTGGATGATGGGGTCAAAGAGGTCCTTGAACACCGAGTAGGACTCCTCATCACCAGCCACACAGCCCACGGTCATGATGAAGGGGTGACCTGGGGGTTGGGGTGGGGTTAAAAGTGCTGGTCCCCAGCAAGGAAGGCCGGGGCTCCTGGGTACAATGTAGACGACATGTGCGTGTGCACGTGTGTGCATGTGTGCGTGTGTGCACGCGAGTGTGTCAGCGGTGTCCCTTCAAGACCTCTGGGTCAGAACTGAGGAGGGTTGGTAAAAACAGGGAGGGAAGGTTGGGAGGAGTCAGTGGCACCCGGGGTGAGGGAAGAAGCTGGGGGCAGGGCACAGAAGGAAGTCTCAGGGGGCCAGTTACAAGGTACTAAAAATACCACCACTTCAGAGTTCCCCAAATCATGGCATCTTCCCCTAGGGTGTTCCAGAACCTTAGACTATCAGCTTCCATGCATAATAACAGACTTGCAGGACCCTCTTTCCTCCCAGATGGGGACGCAGTGGCCCCTCCCCCTGGCCGTTGTCCTTGGAGAAGGAACCTCAGCACCAGTAACACCCCAGTCAGAAGCTGGGCGCTCACTTTGTGCTGGGCATGGCTCTGATGTGTGCCCCATGTTTTAGGTAAGGAAACTGAGGCCCAGGGAGATTAAAGGACTTTTGGGGGGGAGTCTCACATTGCACTCGTGTACAGTTTATCAAGTGGCTTGCCATGTCCCAGGTCCTGCCCCAAGTCCTTCCCACACACAGACTCGTTTATTTCTCATAACACCTCGTGAGTATGGTTCCCACTTCACAGATGGGAAAACCGAGGCCTGGGAAGGTAGGATTGAGCCCCGGCAGGTAGCCTCCAAAGCACCCCCCCTTCTGGTCCCTGTGAGGCTCCACCAGGAAGCTTACCTGGGTTGTCCACACCTGTCTGGATCACATCGTCCAGGGTGAAGCCAGACGGCGTCTCCTTGTCCCGCAGCTTCTTGTAGAGGTCAAGGGTCAGCACCTTGGCCATGTGGTTGTTGTGCTTGGTGAGGTCCGGGAACTCATCCTCGGGCTTGTAGTTCAGCTTGTACTTGTTGTGGGTGTTACCGAACGGCATGGTGGCGGCGTGGGGGGCCTGGTGGGAAGAGGAGGAGGGGAAGGTGAGCTGGCCTGCAGCAGAGACCAGCCAGGGGACCCACAGCGGGGCTTTGCAGCCAGGCGGGCCTGAGGGTCAGTCCTGACTCCTGTGCTGTGTGACTTGCAGCAAGGAGGCTCCCTCTCTGAGCTGCTCTGTCTTGACAGGATGCAGCAGGAGTCTTGGGTTAGAATCCACATCTTGACAGGTGACCCTGGACTAATAACCTTGCTAGAGACTCAGTTTCTCCAGCTGGAAAATGGAACGGGGAGCCCTCAGGCTGCAGTAGTAATTATGGCATAGATAAGAATGTAGGTGCTAGCCCTGGCTCATCCTTTAGAGCGTCACCTATAGACCAGAGTCTCGGGTTCAACTCCGGTCAAGAACATGTACTTCATGGTTCGATCCCCAGCCCTGGTTGGGGTCGTGCAGGAGGCAACCAATTGATGTGTCTCTCTCACATCTCTCTCTCTCACATCTCTCTCTCTCTCTCTCTCTCTCTCTCTCTCTCCCTCCCTCCCTCTCTCCCTCCCTCCCTCCCTCCCTCCCTCCCTCCCACTCTATCTGAAAGTCAATGGAAAAATATACTTGGGTGAGGATTTCCTTTTAAAAGAGGAAGAAGAAGAATGTAGGTTCTAGAATCAGATAGCCTGGGTTTGAATCTCAGCTCTGCCACTTACAAGCTGTGTGACCCTGGGCAAGTTACTTAACCTCTCTGTGCCTCATCTGTAAAATGGAGATGATAATAGCACCTCATGAAGATCTTGAGAGGATTAAAGGAGTTAATGTATGTAAAAGCACTTGGAATAATGCCTGCCACACACTAAGCCTTATTTTGCTCGGCTATCATTATTGTTGTTGACATTGTTTTAAAGGTCTGCGTGGGGAGCTGGTGAGAAGGTGGAGGGTGTTGCTGGGTTGCTGGGAATGAGTGTGAGCAGAGAAGGGACAGTCTCTAGCGGAAGGTCCTTGGGTGCTTAGTCAAGGGCCGAGGGGCAGGGTGGAGGGCGGGCCGGGCACTTCTACAGGCTGACAACTCTCCCGCAGGGCTCAGTTGGGAAGAAAAACTCAGCCTCTGCCGCTGACAAAACTCGGTTCAAATTTCACCTCTGCCATTTCCCCGCTGTGTGACCCCAGGCCAGCTGCTCAGCCCCTCTGAGCCTCTGTCACCTGTGAGCTAAGCCTTCCCCAGGGGGCTGCCAGGAGGATTCTTGGAGCTCAGGCATGTGGCCCGCGGAGCTTCGGCCCCAGCGTGGTGCTGTCCTAGGGGGGTGGCTGCTATTACTGTTGTTATTAGTTTTGTTCTCAAGACCCAGAAAAGAAGGATCCTTCGGCAGCCGTGGTAGGGTGGACACGCTCCCATCTCCAAGGATGGCAAGCAGATAGGATGGTGGAAATACTGGGACCAGAGTAAGCTGAAGGCTGAGGCATCAGGTCAATGGGGGCAGGAACCCACGAAAGAGTTATTTTTGTTGTTAATCCTCACTGAACGATATTTTTTCCATTGATTTTTAGAGAGTAGAAAGGAGAGAGGGAGAGAGAGAGAAACATCCAAGTGAGAGAGGCACATCCATTGGTTGCCTCCCACACATGCCTCGACCAGGGCCAGGGATTGAACCTGCAACCCAGGTGTGTGCCCTTGAGCAGGAATCGAACCCACGACCCTTTGGTGCATGGGCTGACGCTCTGACCACTGAACCACACCGTCCAGGACTCATGAAAGATCTTTGGAGCTGCTGTCCAGGGTTGGAGATTATTTTTAGAGTCTGGAAGTCTCCCCCCCACCCAGCTGCCACCCCCCTCTACACTCCCCACATTCCAGGGGCTCGACTTGCACCAAGTCAGCAGGCCGGAGACAGGTGGGCCAGGGTGGCCGGGAGGACACGCATCCAGGCCTCAGGGCTCAAGGGCTTCCAGCCCACAAACCCGCTCAGTGCCAGGAGCAGGCACTGGGGCTAAGTGGGTGAGCCCAAGAGACAGGAACAAAAATAGCCCCAGAGCCACACACACATGTCACCATGGGCCCCAGATCACACACCATAAACAGTCACACACGCACAACTCCAAGTTCAGGGACACACCCGGGATACACGCACCCATGCAGGAGCCACTGAAAGGCAGCCACAAAGTTGCACTGCTGTGAGACACACCAGGAACCCACATGGTCACACGTCCAAAGGCCCTGCGGCGCCTGCTCTTACAGACCCTGACAGGTGATACGCAGACACCTCCCACGGCTTGTGGCGCCCGGTTCTGGTGACAAACCATCAGGAGCACAGGCCAGGCCCACAGCCCCTCGCAGGGGGCAGTCAGCAGCTGTCTCCCCAGGACCCAGCGCCACAGAGACCACAAGTCATAGCAGGGATTGGGGGCTCACAGGTGGAGGGGACTCCCAGACTCAGGGTCAACCTTCCCACACACTGACCCGCCGTGGGGGGCAGACATGCAAGACAGCCAGGCTGGCCTCCCGCACCCGTGGGGGCCCCACTCCGGCCCCTCCCCGATTCCTGCCGAGGGCGGTACCTGTGGCCGTGCTAAAAGGCTGTCTGTGTCCTGCAGGCACTGCTGACCCAAAGCAAGAGCCTGCAGCCCTGGCCTTATATAGGTGGGGCCTGGGCTGTGCTATTGGCTGGGAGGGGCTGTCGCCCAGAGAGGGGGGCGGAGGGCAGCTGAGCCTCTCACCTCCCTGCCCGGGCACTGTGCCCACCCTGAACCCAGGCATGCCTTGCGCCCAGCCCCACGGCCTTCTATGGGCCTCCCAGGGCAGGTCCACTAAGCTGATCCTCTGACCAAGTGCTGAGTCGGGCTGGCAGGAACAGCTGGACCCCCGCCAGGGACACAGGACAGTTGCAGGAACTGTCCCAGGCACGTAGAAGCCACCCTTCCCTGGCCCTCTGCAAGGCCACCAGCCCCCTCCTGTGCCCAGGCCCCTCCTCAGCCCCCCGCGGCCTTGACCTGAGCCTGCCCCCGGGGAAACCTTGCAGTGCCCACCGGAGCCCAGGCACCCAGCTTCCCAGAGGAGGGAACAGGACCAGAAAGCCTGTGCGACTCGCCTGCGGTCACCCCACTCTGGGGAGCCTGCAACCAAAGCCGAGGGGGGAGCTTGGGGCAGCCCCAGGAAGCCTGCCCGAGAGACACTCTCCTCCTGGGGTGTGTGGGGGCGGGGCGGGTGGAAACTGAGGTCCGACTGAGGTTAGGTTCAAACGCAAGGCCAGGGTTGGAAGCCGTGGTCACCCTCCCCACGCTGGCCCGTCTGGTGACAGTGACGCAGGGAGATTTCCGCTGGAGGGGACAGGGAAGGACTCGCCCAGGACGAGAGTTTATTTTTAGAGCGTTTGGCCGCCTCCTCTGCAGGCCGGGACCCCGGGGCGGGCGCGGGGATGCGGGGCGCGGGGCAGGTGCTGGGGGGTGGGGTCGCCACGTGTCCTGGGTAATTATAACCAGGCATCGGGTGTCCCGGGGCCTCGCCTCCTTACAAGGGCAGCCACTGCCCCGGGGGCCGTCCCACTCCCAGAGGGAGGTGGCCACGGGCCAGATCTCCCATCCACACCCCACAAACATCTGGGCGGGGCAGGCGCTCCAGGCACCTCGACTGTGATTGGACCTCAAGGATGAAGAGGGGGGTCTGTGGAAGTGGGGGAGGCACCGAGGGAGCTGCCTCCTCCGTCTGGAAGGTGCCAAGATTGCAGGTCCAGCCAGGGCGCAACTGCAGGGAGATGTCGAGGAGGAGGAGAACGTTCCCTTTCCTCTGGGGTTCCTCCCTCCTCTCCGCCTCTCCTCAGATTCGGGTGGGGAGGGGGGTGCTTAGAAAACTTTCTTTGAGGCCCGGACCCTGAGCTCTCCACCCACCAGTCCCTTCCCAGCAAAGTTAGAGTGGCTAAGGTGTCCTTCATGGCTAGGGAAACAGGCCCACAAGACTAAAAGGAACTGGTCTGGAATATTTATTGAGCACTTACTGGGGACACAGAAGAAAACAGCCCAAACGCCTGCCCTCGTGGAGGTGACATTTTAGTGACAGTGAACAAGTAAATATAAGTCAGGGGCAAAGGGGCTTCGAAGGAAAATGAAAGAGGGTCAAGGATGAGTGATGGCACCACAGGGGAGGGGAGGTCAGGCCTCTCCAGGGAGGTGACATCTGTGCAGAGACCTGAGGGAAAAAGGGAGCCAGCCAAGTGGGAAACCTGGAAGGGAAACAGCAGGTGCAAAGGCCCTGAGGTGGGAGTGGGTTCTATTTGAGAGACAGGGAGGGGGTGCAGGGCTGGAGCAGATGGGCAGAGGGGATAGTGGGAGGAAGAACATGAAGCTGGAGAGGGAGCAGGCGCAGACCTGTGGGGCCCTAGGGGCTGTGGAGGAGTTTCCATCCCACTGTAATGGGAACCACTGAGGGCCCAGCAGGGGAGAGACGGGAGCCAACCACGTCACACAACTGGTGGGTGGCACAGCCCAGCACCTCCCCATCCCCCGCCCCTAATAATCCCTTATGGGAACATTTGACATTCTTTTTGGCCACACAGTTTCGGAAGTCCTTTCTATGTTTGGGGAGATACTCACCCTATGACAGCTTTCTTTGGAGAAGCCAAACATGTCTGAAAATCAGTGTCCCAGAATCCTCTGCAGTAATAGTCCACTCATAAGGCTCCGAGAGGTTAAGTTACTTGCTCAAGGTCACACAGCTGGGAAGGAGCAGAGCTGGGAGTCAAAAAGGCACAGGGCTACAAAGAGTGAGTTCAGGCTTTGGTGAAAATCATTTCCAGGTCTCTCTCAAGGTCAGACTCTACTGTCAACCCAGAGTCGCTTTCCAGGTCTTCAGGCCCTGATAATTTGTACCAACTTCCCCATGCCCCCTTTATCACCCAGCAGTCTGGCTTCAGGGTCCAAGCACTATATGTGTGTTAATCAATGCAATTCCCCAACAGTTTTATGAAGTGGGTACTGTAAATATTACAAATCGGGAACATGAAGCCCAGAGAAGTCAAGTCATTTGTCCAAAGTCACACAGCTAAGCAGTAGCAGAACCAGGCTAGATGAGGTAGTTAGTCCCTGAGATTGTATTCATAATCTTTTCCAGATCCCACATCTTCCTGCTGAAGACCCATTTTACAGAGAATGAAGACTGAGGCTGAAAAAGGGTAAGGGAGTTGCTCAAGCTCACAGCCAGTATTCTGGAATTCGAGAGCCTGCATGCTTCCCTTCATCCTCGAGGCTCTGGCACTGCAGAGTAACCCTGCTCCCACTCTGTTTCCTACCATCTTCCCTGTTCCTATCTCTGCCCTGAGGATGTGGCTGCCACATTCAGGGGAGACTCTGGGGGGCAGCACTCCACCCCCATGGCCCACCAAAATGCTCTCCTCCCCCACCTCCAAAATTTCTCTCCCAATCTTGGTAGTCTGTGCTGCCAACTGATTCAAGGAAGACAAGTCCCAGAGGAGAGAGTTAAGGACTTGCCCACTCCTTCTTGTTCTTGGAGAGCAAGGCCAGGCCTGCTGAAGCTCTGTAATTAACCGGCTGTCAGGCCCATGTGGTGGTGGGGAGGCGAAGACAGGCAAGTAGGGTAGTCTTTCATGACTCCCCTCCTACCCTGCCCAGTTCCTCCAAACCAATCTTTATCAATTTAGATATACATTGTCCTCTAGGTGTTGCTTTAGTTGCATCTCAGTTTTTGTTTCATTTTGTTTGGTTTGGTTGTTTTCCATTCTGTTATTCTGTTTTCCATTCTGTTTATTATTTACATTGAAAATGTTAGCCCGGCCAGTGTGGCTCAGTGGATTGAGTGTCATCCCATGGACTGAGAGGTCCCGGTTCAATTCCCGGTCAGAGCACATGCCCAGATTATGGGCTTGATCCCCAGTAGGGGGTGTGCAGAAGGCAGCAATAGATATTTCTCTCTCACATCAATGTTTCTATCTCTCTCTCCCTTCTTCTCTCTCTAAAAAAGCAATAAAAACATATTTAGAAAAAAGAAAACGTTATATTTGGAATGAATGGATGGTCATATTTATTTATATTTTAGTTCCTTGAGGTTACTTTATATTGAGGTATAACTATTCACTGTAGTGCCCTAATCTTTTTTTTTTTTTTTTTTTAAATCCTCATCCGAGGACATTTTTCCATTTTTTGTACAGACAGAGTGGGAGGAAGAGAGAGAGAGGGAAACATCGATGTGAAAGGGACACATGGAGTGGCTGCCACCCGCACGACCAACCAGGGCCGGGGACAAACTGCAACCGAGGTACCTGCCCTTAGCGGGAACCGAACCCGGGTCTCTCCAGACCGCAGGCGGACGCTCTAACCGCTGAGCCAAACCGGCCAGGGCTGTAGTGCCCTAATCTTAAGATCAATGCACTTTATATATATGTACACCCGAGTAACCACCACCAAGACCAAGATGGAGACTATTTCCAGCTCCCCAGAAAGCTCTCTCATGCTGCCTCCCAATCCACGTTCCCTCTCTTTTCCAAAGGAACCACTTTTAACACCATATATTAGCTTTGCCTATTAGTGAACTTTATATACATAGAGTCATACGGGATGCCCTCTCTTTGGTTGGATTTCTTTTGACCAACATCCTGTCTATTGAGATTTATTCATATTATCACATGCAGCAATAGACTGTTCTTTAGCAGGTTTTGCTATGTAGTAGTTTGATTACTGGTTACTTCTAAATACTTTCTACCCTGGCCGGTTTGGCTCAGCGGTTAGATCGTCAGTCCGCGGTCCAGAGAGACCCGGGTTCGGTTCCCGCTAAGGGCACGTAGCTCGGTTGCAGTTTGTCCCCGGCCCTGGTTGGTCGTGCAGGTGGCAGCTACTCGATGTGTCCCTTTCACATCGATGTTTCTCTCTCTCTCTCTCCCTCCCACTCTTATCTGAACAAAAAATGGAAAAATGTCCTCGGGTGAGGATTAAAACAAAACAAAATAAATACTTTCTAATTTCTGTTATGATTTCTTCTTTGTCTTATGAATGGCTTTTTTAAAATCTTTTTTAAATTTTGTATAAATATATTTTTTCTTTATTAATTTTTAGAGAGAGAAGGAGGGAAAGAGAGATAGAAATGCCGATGACAGAGAACATTGATTGGCCGCCTCCTGCATGCCCCTCATTGGGGATCAGGCCCACAACCTGGACATGTGCCCTGACTGGGAATCGAACCGACGACCTCTTGGTGCATGGGTCAACACTCAGCCACTGAGACATACTGGCTGGGCTTTTAAAAAATCTTTTTATTCATGGATAAAAGATGAGACATCACCCAAGGGAATAATATGCAGCTGTTAAAAAGAGTAAAGCTATATGTACTACTTTGGAACAACTGCCAAGTGTCTTAGTCCTTCTGGGGTGCTATAACACAGACCGAGGGGCCCATAAACAATAGAGGTGTGCTGCTTACAGTCTGGAGCCTGGAAGCCCAAGGTCAGGGTGCCAGCAGTCAGGTAAGAGCCTTCCTCTTGATTGCAGACATCATTACCCTCGTGCGCAGAAGGGACAAGGAGCTCTCTGGGGTCCCTTTTGTCAGGGCACGAATCCCACTCATGAGGGCTTCACCCTTATGACCTAATCACCCCCTACCGGCTCCACCTCCTAATACCATCA